CCCCAAAACCCCAAAACCCCAAAACCCCAAAACCCCGACTTTATAAATTTTGAATGAAAATTGCTAATAAATAATTATCTAAAATATAATTGACTAGTAATATGGATATATCAGAGGAGGAAAAGCAAAAGATTAGAGAGAAAGTTGAGAAGCTCAAGAATTCCAGATTTAAGCAACAGACACTCCCAGCTTGGAGACCCATTCCTTCATTCAAGTCCACAATGATCACCTTTACTGTTTTTGGTATCATCTTCTTGGCTCTTGGTATTGCTCTTTATGTGATGAGTGATCAAATTAAAGAGGTAACTTATCAATACGATGATGATGAGACTTGCAAATAAAATATTGGTGAGGGGAAAAAATGTACAGTTCCAATCGTTATTAAAGAAGGTATTGATCAACCAATCTACGTTTACTATCAACTTGACAACTTCTATCAAAATCACAGAAGATATGTGAAGTCCAGAAGTTTTGATTAATTGAAAGGAAAATAATTGAGCACAAGTGATGTTAACACTGATTGTGACCCAATCGTTAAGAATAAGGATACTGGTAAAACTACTAGCATCAATGGGAAACCACTTAATGCTGATGATGTTGCCTGGCCATGTGGTCTCGTAGCAAAGAGTTTCTTCAACGATAACTACACACTTGCAGATCCCAAAGGAGCTGTTGTTGACATTAATCAAAAAGGCATCGCTTGGGAAAGTGATAAAGAATATAAATTCGCTAATTGGAAAGGCAATAACTCTGCTGTGACCTATAAGGATGTTCAATGGATTGATGTTGAAGATGAGCATTTTATCGTGTGGATGAGAACAGCTGGTCTCCCAAGCTTCAGAAAACTCTGGGGTAAGATTGAAAAAAGACTTGAACCAGGTACATATCAACTGACAATCGACAACAGATACGACGTTTCCAGCTTCGATGGTCAAAAGAGCTTCGTTCTCTCTACTACCAACACACTCGGTGGCAAAAACTACTTCTTGGCAATTTGCTACATTGTGGTTGGTGCCCTCTGCATATTATTCGCCATCATATTCCTAGTCGCCTTCCTTAAGAAAAGAAGCAGCAGACACAATGATTGAAAATGAAGAAGAAGGACTGAAGCTTGATAAAAGATAATTCCTGTCTGCTTGCATGCAAAGTAAATAATAATATTTTCTTATGTAATTCTTCTCCAATAAATTTAAATAAATTAAACTCACAGATAATGCTTAAGTTAAGTTGGAAGGGGTTTTGGGGTTTTGGGGTTTTGGGGTTTTGGGG